CTGCTGGGGTGGGAGGAATTCCTCCACAGAGCAGCGATTCGGAGGGAGAGCCGGGGCTGTGCCCTGCCACAGATTAGTGAGGCTCTCCCCCGAGATGATTTGAGTGCTGGGTGTTGTAGCTTAGAAAGCACCGCAAAACAAATGACACTGAAACAAAGTAGTTTTTCACTTCCTATGCTGAACTATAGATAAATGAGCATTTCAAGTAGCGAGTTTGAAAGGGAAGTGTGAGGATTGGAGTCCCTCCTCATACCAGCTCACCCAAAGGAGCAAATATCAACACCGTATTGTCAAAGTTCGATTTAATAACTCCCAATAACTGTAAGAACTAAAAGGAAGAGGTTCTTCAAATCCCTCCTTACAGAGGGTTTTGAACAGTTGCTGGTGTGTCTCAGAGTAGAGAGCATGTTCTCCTGGTTCCCTGATGGTGCCTGACTGCTTGTGCTACCCTTTTGCTCTTCCTTTCTGCTACATCGTGCTGCCTTTGTTTTCTTCATGAACACTCAGCAATAATTCCCCTGATGTTTACACATGACAATCTCAAAGGGAAGGGTTGGGAAGAAGCATTTTGGATTATCAAATGGTTTGCGTGCACTTTCAGAAATCTTTTAAAAAATGAAATGGCACACATTAAGTTGAACTTCAGAAGTTATATACATGCAGCTTAAGAGAATAAACTGAATAGAAGTTGGTAAACTTGTTTATGAAAGGACAACAATAAAAGTAGCTTTCAGTTTCAGTACTTGCCTAGCAAAAAAAAAAAAAAATTAAAAAGGAGGTGGTAGTGTGATATTTTTAGGTTTCTTTCAACATATGAATTTGTTTTGGTTAATCTTACTGGCCTGGAAGCAAAATTCTGAATAGACTTTTAGAAACTGTTTGCCTCAAAATAAGCCCTTGCCACTGCAGACATGATTTCCTTCTATGTCTTGTTTATATGTCTGCATCTGCTTTTTTTAAATTATCTCGTAAACTGCAGTTCAAAATATTTTAATGTACGATGACTTGTTTCTGTCTGTTGCAATGGGAAGGAAGTAAAAAGTCTGAAATGTAGAGGCATTTGCATTAAAAAACACTCTTCCACCCAAAATAAACACTTTTTTCCCTTAAGGAATATTGCCATCTTAAAGTTAATTTGTAATCATATTTAAAATTCAACCAGTATGTCTGCAACTTTGTTTAAAAATCTTGGCCCAGAGCAGTAATGAAATATCTAAGACCTTAGACCTAGCTATATGTAACTGATCCCATCCATGTATTCCTGTTTTCTATTAATAAAGTGGAAAAAGGAATATCTATATTAAATAGCACACAATTAAATTTTTCTAAACAAGTTGATGTTCCCAGTAGGCATTCTTTCCTAAGAGATCTTAAAAGCGTATTTTCTTCCATCTTCAGTGTGAAAATATTTTAAACATTACATACGTTAAATATTTTAACAGGTTGTATTTACTGCTAAGCATTTAATTGCAGAGGTTAATCACTTGTAATTTATGCTTTTCAAAAATAATCTGTAATCTGTTTTAACAAACAAACTACGTAGGATGGTTGACTTCACATAAAACTTTACTAAAATGTGTATTTGTATCAAGGCAGTGTTTGCTCCTGTGGAGTTTTCGTGGGCAGCCTTAGTGGAGATGGATGCAGTCTCTTAAATTTAGCTTGAATGTGAAGGGAATAAGATTTTCCAGCAAGAAAAGTAGGTCTTAGTCATATTGCCTTTTAGCGACAGCTATTCTGGATTTCTGGATCTTACTTTATTTAGTAAATATCATGGCCAGTATTTCGCATCTCTTCTATCATCAGCTAGTTGTGATCCACTTTGCGCAGGTTTGGATGTCAGCTTACTCAGTCTCACTGGCCAGCCCCTGCAGTCCGAACCTTGGGAGCTTTTGGTTTGCTTCATCTGTTTGGACTTGTTTTCTTCCCCTTGCCCTTCCTTTATTTTACAGATAGGAAAGTTAGCAAAAAGTTTCTCTGTTCTATAAGGAAAAACTGAACAAAGTCTGCTTTGCTTATGTTGAGTGCATACTCTTTAGTCCATGAACAAAAAAATCATTCTGCAAACTAGTGCTTGTTGTGAAGAACTTCTGGGTAGCTTCACGAACCTTGTTATTTTAACAAGTCCCAGTGATGATTTTATTATGTTTCATGATTTTTACTTCATTTAACTGAATGTGTTGACATGGTTTGATGGTTTTGTTGGTATGTGCCTGGACATTCTGAAAGCCAAGACAAATGGGAAAAGGCTTTCTTAAGCAACCAAAGAATTGGATCAGTCCTCCATCTGGTCATTGCTTAGCCCTGGTCTGATTTTTCCCTCAGTACCTTTGGAGTAAAATGTGAATTTCTTCTCTATGGCTGAACTGTAACTCAACTTTTAACTCTGCAGCAAGGGGAAAGCAGTATCAACTGTGTTTTGGTTTAGGAAGGAAAACACCACCTGGCAAAGTAAGAGGAATTGGAAAAGGTCAGCAGTTTTGGTACTTGTTAGAATTTGACCATCTTCTCCAGCATGACCTTTCTTCAATAAATTTCCACTACACAGTTCCCCACCCTTCTCCTCTGCATTAATTGCACTTTGATTTAAGAGTTTGTCTCATTTGCTGAGACATTTACAGTAAATAAAGGTTAACAGTATAGATTTTTTTTTTGAACAGCAGGCTCCAGACATTTAAATGTGTCAGACTTGATGATACATTGATGTAATCTCTAATAATGACATACTAAGAAGGGTAAGTACCTTTAGAATTCAAAAGGGATCCTGCTTTTACCATTTTTCAAGCATCCCTGCCTGATTTCAGCCTTTGCATGTTGGTGGGGCCAGAAGATGGACACCAACTTAAGACCTCTATTAAAATGACAAATTAGCTTTATTGGAAAAAAAAAATACTTAAAGGCCATTTGTTTTTACTTTCCCTCCTTCAGGTCCGATGATGACAATGCAGATGACAGGAGTTCCAGGGTGACCAGACTTTGCACTTACTTTCAGCAGAAATACAAGCACCTCTGCCGCCTGGAGCGGGCAGAATCTCGTCAGAAGAAATGCCGGCATACACTCCGGAAAGCCTTGCTGCAGGCGGCCAGCAGAGAGCCGGAGCGTGCTGGGCAACTGATACAAGAACTCCGAAGAGCTACGTGTGCTCGTACCAGGTTAGACCTTCCCCTGTGACTGCAGTAACATGGGGTCTGAACAGGGAGGAGGTGGGCAGAGTATCCAGCAGCTGAAATGCTGAACTCTGAAACTGGTAGGCATGCACAAGGCAGAAAACCCATGACACATAAATGCCTGTCCATGGAGTAGAGTAAACATGGCATACAGTGTTTTCCATGAAGATAAGCATTCTCCAGCCTTGTCTTTTAAAATGTGGATTGTTTATTTAGCAGTGTCTGGGCCAGTTTCTTAAATGTCACAAAAGAAGTTAGTGGCCTGCTAAAATTTATTCTTGTTAATTAATCTGTGTATTTTGGCTGCCTTCAAATATCTGGTACTTTACTAAGCCCAGTTCTTTAGAAGCTGTGCTGTCTGGTCTGCAGTTCACTGCTTCAATTCAGATTTCGTTTTTCAGACAACATTTTTTGAAAAGTCTGTACTCCTCTTAATTCTCTTCCCAGCAAATCAAACTTAAGCTCACACTTTTTGTTAGATTTAACTCAATCTAACATTAAATGAAACTTGGCAACAAAATAAATATCTTCTAACAACTCTGAAGGTTACCTTCTGTGGGAATACTTTCTAGATAATGTCAACATCCCTCCAGCTCTCGGCATACTGAGAGTTGGTCGATTCATATTTGTGCAGAAACAGAGTAAGTCTGAACCCTGGTGTTATGTCTGGGGTACCAGCAGCATCCTTTTGCTCTTGTGGTTTTGCTTTACAGGGTGTGTGACTGTGGGAGTTAGGAGAGGCTAACATGAGAGGCAGGCTGGAGCAGGGTACTGAGGGTATATTCTGGTTATGGGATGCTTTTGTTCCTGGACAGCGGGCTGTGGTTCATGACAGTTGGAGGGTTTATTGTTGAGGAGGTGGAGTGATGCTGAAAAGGTGCTCCGAGATGCAGTATGGAAGTACATTACTAGTTTATAAACTTGTGTAAATGTCTCCAAAGTTAAACTACAGCAAAACCTTGCCAGAACTGGCAAGCTCTTGCTGTTTTTGTTGGGTTTTTTCCCCATTATTTTTGCCTTTTATTATGCAAAAAAAGATTACGTTGTTTTGGGTACACTGGTAAAGCCAGGTATGCCTGTCATCGCTGCTCTGGTTAATTTAAGTAGCCACAGAGTCCTTTCAGTTACAAAATTTTTCACAGGAGTAATATTGCTCACTAAAACTTTACTCAGTCAAAGTGCAGTTGATGACAGAAATGGCTGAAGGAAAACAGTCAGGCTACAGCCAGCTTTTTGTCAACCTAGAAAACAACGTGTACAGAGGTGAAATTGAGCCCTGGAATCGCCAGCTTTATCTACGTGAAGGTGACAAGTGCCTCGAGAGCAGGCTAACACCAAGCGAGCTGTGTAATGCTTGCAGTACTCATCCACACTGCTGTCTGGTCGCCTGCTTGAAGCTCAGGCTCAAAGCATTGAGGCTGTGCTGAGGAAGTGCTCTGCTCTGGGCACCTGCTGGTGGATTGGGCTGTAGCACGTTAATGAAGGAGAGCTTTTACCCATGTTGAGCACGCTCAGGCTCTGCCACTCCAGAGCTCAGTCTAAGTTTGTCTGAGCACATGCTTGCATGTAAGCTCTGGGGATGCTCGGCATGTTTTGATTTACGAACAGGCTTGGAAGTGCACTGGACTGCCCATGTAGGCATGTACAATGTATTGGATTCTAAAGATTGACCTCATTTTAAGGGTCACCTGTGTTGACACTCACCTACTGCTGTCCTTGGCTCTGTTGCAGGGTGTTGTAATATTTACATGGTAGTAGCACACAGCACCTTTCATTACAATTAAGGCCCTGTGAAATAAACAATAATCCTGTTACTGCAGTCACACCTTCACCTGTCATTGACATCTATTCTGTATCCCTGTGTAGAGTGTGGTAGTAGTGTGCACCCGTCTGGATCATGACACACACACGTGTGTTAGAATTTTTCATCCTACTGTGCTGCATTCAGTGCAAGAGTTGTGCTAAGTAACCACCTGAGACTGGGGTTTTGCCTCTAAACTCTTTTATGTTTTGTTTTTTTTTCAGCACAAGCCAAGCGAGGCAGAGAGATGCAGAGCCAACAACCTGTAGTGGGACTTCAAAGGGAGAACAGTGCACTAACCAGGCCCTTCCATACACCAGGCATTGTTTTCAGCGTATCCTCTTAACTCTGGGAGTTGCATTCATGCATGGAAGCTGTTCTGGTTTAGGGTTTTTTGTTTGTTTATTAGGCTTTTTGCATTGACATATATGTTTTCACAAAGAAATACCTATTTGTTAGCCTATCATCAACTACTTTGCTTTTAATTTGTCTGTGTGATTTGGGTCTGCAGGCAGTGAAGATAAGTAGTTTGCCACTGGTATCTGTCATAATCACGTCATTTTACTTTGTAAGCCGTATTTAATGGGTGCACGAAGGCTTTACAAAACTGTTCATCTCTCACCAATGACTTGGTACGAACAACGTGGCTTTCAGCCTCATGGCTTTCATACAGTTCTTGGTAGGTTCCAATAGACTAACTACCTATAAAGGGTTTACAGGAACAAGTTTTTACAGATGGCTTACAGTGGCTAGAAAGATGGAAATCTGGTACTTTGCATTGTTTAAAGAAGCAGAATAAAAGGGGTCACAGAATTCAAATTCTGGATGAGGAAGAATTCCCAGTGCTGGGGATTTCAATCAAAACCTGAAAAGGATGTTAAGAGTCAATGCATGAAGGTCACAGAAAGGAAGGAGCACATTAGATGTGAGGTTAGATCTGAAGACTATAAACAGGCAGACTTTTGACCTGGAATACTTGAGAATCCTGCAGACTTTGTCTTTTGTGGTTTTAGCTGAGCAACTGTTGGCGCTTTTGTTGGAGTGACTTCTTTTGTTGGAGCTTTTGGTTTTGGTATTTTAAGTGGCTAGAGCTTATCTGTTCCAGTTACTATCAGACTGCAGCACCTTTTCAATCTTTTTGGTTTGCAGATGCCTTGTTTTTCTTTGTTGATTTTTGCAGGGCCCTTAAAGCTGCAGGGCAGTTCAAAACTTCACCAGGGTGTGCAGCTGTGTTTGGGATTTGCCTCATGATTCTGTTTGTTTGGAGTTTTTTTTATTATTTTTTTTAAAGTTTAAGTGGTCTTGCTTGTTGGTGTGCCATAGAGCAGAGAAGTCAAAACTAGGGATTTTGCATTTGTGCCCATTTTTTCCCTCTGCACTTTCTTCTCAATGGAAACAGTCTCTCCTAAAATGAGCAGGATCTTGGTTCTGACCTATCCGTCCAAGTCTGCCATCTGGATTGTTCTGCAGGTTTTCCATTTCCTTTGTCCTTTCTTTTGTGTTTTAACATTTTCTGAACATACATAGTGATTTTGAGGTCTGAGAACTGTTCAAGATGGAAGGAGTGCTTCTAATGTTGTTTGAAAAAATACAATGAAATATCTGTTTGATTTGCTCTAAGTTTGGAAACATTTTCACTCCTGCAGGGGATTTTTCTGAAGGAAATCTCAGCAAGCTTACGTTTGGATTTACTTGACCTTTCTGTCTGATTGCACATCTTTTTTTCAGAGGAGCAGGAAGGATCTTGAAACTTCTTTGTCTGTGCTCTAAAGATAAATGCCAAGAATGTACCTTAAAAGATTGAATTAAGAAATACTTTTTCTTTAATGTTTCGGTATGGATTGTCATTAGTCTGTAAGGAAATAGTCCTGTTGACTACACTGTTCCAACTGCTACTATTGATCTATTGATTAAGACTCCAGGAAAAGGCTTCTTTTTGCTAAGAACTCATTAGTGAAATGGCTGCTTCCATAAAACTATCTCAATATATAATAAAATCATTAGAGATTCTGCATGAATGCAGTTTTTCACTTTAAAAGTTGGGTTTGAGCCTTACCTAGCTTTGAACTTGACTAACAAAGTTAAGGTATTCATTAAAAATAGCATCTATGGACAGCTAGAGTTGAAGGCTCTGATCTTCATCAGATTGATAAATCAAAGGGCGTTCCTCCATCGTTGCCTTGTGTGTTATTCCTGATGCAGAAATGTACAGATATCTTATTGAACCGTTCTCAGCAGCTCTTCTCAAGTTGCACAGCCAAGTTTGCGGATGGTCAACAGTGCTCTGTGCCAGTTTTTGACATTACACATCAGACACCTCTGTGCGAAGAACATGCCAAAAAAATGGTAAGTACAAAGCCAAAACTGTAGTGATCTGTGTGTTGGGATGATCAGGAGTTTTAACCCCAGTCTTTCTATGAACTCTTGTGTGGCAACTAACAAGTTTACAAACTTAAAAGTTTATTTCCTTTTATTTTTTTAAGAGGGTAAAACATGCCAAACATTCCCACTTAGTATAAAGTTTGTTGTGAAAATATTTTACATAATTTTGAGGATATAATAATGTGTGTATGAGAATTTCCTTCACTGGAAGAAATTTGATTCCTCTCTTGAATCAAGAAATAGAAAATCATTGCAAGAGATCCTGTGGTCATTTTATTTGGGCTCACTCCTGGCCCTTAGCTCTGAATATAGCATGAGTGTGGTATGGTAAGAACACTGCATCTCAAACAGTCTTAGTACATGGGGCCCAAAGTATTTTCTAGAGGAAGTGTAGATAGCAATTACAAGCATAAAAATAATGGGTTTGCTACTTTATTTACCTTTTGGTGACTATTAGAGTTTATCTTTAACCTCCTTCAGGGATCTGTGGATCCCAGAGGAAAAGCAGTGGCCTACTACAAGTTGAGAGAATGCAGAAATTAAGGTGATGTCCTCTGCTCTCCTTTTATGCCTCCCATCTTCCAGAACAAAACTTGTAGGATAATTCACAAACCCACTTCTGTCTTGCCCCTCCTTCAAGGCATTAGGTGTAAAACTGCCCTTTTTTTGTTCTGTTGTTGGATTGTTGTCGTTCTTTTCTTACTGTTTTTGTCCAACCTCTCCAATACTTTTGAATTAAGGAGTCTTCTGGATTAAAATGCGAGGGTCTGCTCAGATTTCTGTGGGATTTTCCCCTTCTCCCAGGCAATCTTCAATGTGTCTATCAAGGTTTACTTCTGTAGCTCATAGAACCCTCTGCCATTCCCAGTATGATGGCAACTGCAAACTGATGATGGTTTATTTTTTTAATTGATCAATGATTGCTTTTCAAAAACAATGAGGCCTTAGTTGTTTACCTGCATCCTTACCCTAATCTTACAGTATTAATTCCATTTCCTCAGTGCTGTCCCTCTTTTATGGTAGTGGACACTTGAGGATGCTGGCTTCAGCTGTTGCACACTATCCCCATTATTGCCACTTCACAACAGTGTTCTGTCTTTAATACGTACAGGAACGATGCCAAAGGATACAGTTTTGCACTGATTTAGTTAGGGTTTACTATGATGATTTTTAAAATGTCACTGCATGATCTCCTATTTAGCATACCTCATAATTTTGTCTGTGTGATTTTTGCCATTGGGATCAATGAGGAAGGAAACAGCTTAATTTTCATAACCTTGCCTGGGTGTAAGTTAGCAGTCTCTTGCATTACATGAAAGGGGGGAAAAAACCCAAGGAAAATACTACTAGCTCTTAACATGCTATTGTTTTATTCCCAAAGGACAATTTCTTGAGAGGGGACAGTTCCCGTAAAGTTCAGCACCAGCAGCAGAGGAAACCCAGGAAAAAAACGAAGCCACCTGCACTTACCAAAAAACACAAGAAGAAGAGAAGGCGAGGCCCACGCCGGCCCCAGAAACCCATTCCTCCTGCAGTGCCCCAAGGGAACCTCACCATGCCTGCCAGTGTCTCACTGCCAGTAGAGATGCCCCACATACGGTCAGTGGTAGCCTTGCCCCAGTTTGCCCACTGCTAGCTTGAACCTTGTCAATGACCACTGTAGACAGGTGTGATGTTGCTGTGCTGATCGGCATCTGGAGTGGGGCTAGAAATTCCATCTCCACGTGGTTGTTGGAAAAAACCTTAGAGTGGGTCATTTCAGATTTGAGCAATTACTGGGTTTGATGGATAAAATACCTTGCTCCTGATGCCCCATCTTATGTATTTAATCAATAGGCTAAGTGTAAGCTTCCTAAAGAAGCTTTCTAAAAGTATTTTTTTCCTAGATGATGGGTGGAGGAAAAAAAAAGTGTGGGGAACCACTCATTATGGGTGGATATGCATTTGTAGTTGTCATTTGGAGGAATCAGAGTTGAATACTGTGAATACTTTCTGTCCAGGAGCCCCTCCACACCAGAGCTGAGTGCCGATGAGCTGCCTGATGATATCGCCAATGAAATCACAGACATTCCACATGACTTGGAATTGAATCAGGAGGACTTCTCTGATGTCCTGCCGCGGCTGCCCGACGACTTGCAAGATTTTGATTTCTTTGAAGGTACCATCTTATTTTATGCTAACGTGAACACAGTCAGTGAACCGAAGAAGTGAGTGTTTCTAAAATGCATTTTGAGGGGTTGCTTGCTTTCCTACAGAGGTAATACCTTCTAGACAATGAAGTGTGCATTTGCTCTGTTGTTTGTTAGCTCTGAAGTAAAACAGACTTAAGACTGGTGTATGTGGTTCTCTGCTTGCTCTTATAATTACTGCTCTGAAAATCCTAATTGGTTTAGTATTTTAATAATTCATTTTATGTTTTTACTGCCTGTCAGTGTTGCAGTTTAATCAAGAATATTTTCAGTAATGGCATCTTTCTGCCATCGAGTGGGGCTGGAATCACAGTCAATGTTGGCCTTTGATAAAAGGAGAAGAGAGTGAGAATAAAATCTTTAAATACATTTTTGAAACTAGCTTTTGATCAGAATTGTGCCTGAATTGCTAGATTCTAAAGCTCAGTACCTATCACAGGTAACAAAGAAATTAGAACAGTCCAGAGTTGGGCTTTGTTATTTTTTTGGTGATTTTCTGATATCACATGACATCACACTGTGTTTGAGTTCAAATTAACCTAAATTACACTGACACTGTAAATTTCAGGCCCAGACTGTAATGTGGTAAGTAGAAGGGAGTTTGTGGACTGTTAGTGTTATTGTAGCATTGAAGAAAATCTTATTTAAGCCTTTTTACTTTGTCTAGTGAGTTTGGGAGGCATCTTGTGTTGAAATATGTGGAAGTGGAGGGTGGAGAGAGGGAATTCCATTGAAGAGGAAGGTGTAATATCTCATTTTTCTTACCTTGCTTACCTAGTGAACACTGATGAAGGAAAATTTCTGTGTACCACAAGCCATTCTGGTTATCGTGCACTGCAGCTCTGTACTGAATTGTCTGTACACCTGCATCCTTAGAGTTCCAGTGCTGGCCTCACCTGAGAGGAGGGCGCTAACTTTTGGTGTCCCTGTTTCTGCAGGTAAAAATGGAGATCTCCTTCCGACTACAGAAGAGGCTGAAGAACTGGAACGGGCCCTACAGGCTGTAACTTCTCTTGAGTGCCTGAGTACCATTGGAGTACTTACACAGACAGATGGTGTGCCAGTTCAGGAGCTGTCAGATAGAGGGATAGGGGTGTTCTCTACAGGTGCTGGAGCTCCAGGAATGCAGTCCTTGAGTCGAGAGGTTAACACGGATCTGGGGGAGCTGTTGAATGGGCGTATGGTACATGATAATTTCTCCGGTCTGGAGCTGGATGAGAACTTGCTCCGTTCTGCTACCTTGTCCAACCCACCAACGCCCCTGGCAGGGCAGATCCAGGGGCAATTCTCAGCCCCAGCCAACGTCGGCCTTACTTCTGCCACTCTGATAAGCCAGAGTGGCCTTGGGGAGAGAGCCTTCCCAGGACAGTTTCATGGACTTCATGATGGCAGCCATGCCTCCCAGAGGCCCCACCCTGCCCAGCTGCTGAGCAAGGCAGATGACCTGATCACCTCACGACAGCAATACAGCAGTGACCATTCACACTCCTCACCCCATGGAAGCCATTATGATAGTGAGCATGTGCCGTCTCCCTACAGTGACCATATCACATCCCCTCACACCGCATCCTTTTCCAGTGATAACTTGGCAGCTACCTTCTCAGCAGAGATGCCCATGATGGCACAGCACTTGCTCCCAACTCAGCTGGATGTGCCACTTAGCGGGGTGGTCAACCCCAGAACTCACTGGGGAAATCTTCCTGTCAATCTTGGGGACCCCTCTCCGTTTAGCAACCTTCTTGGTGCAGATGGACACCTCCTGTCCACCTCCCTGTCCACACCACCTACCACCTCGCACTCAGAGACCACACAGCCTGCCTTCGCCACTGTGACCCCCAACAGCTCCAGTGTGCTTCCGGGGTTACCGCAGACCAGTTTTAGTGGCATGGGTCCTGCCTCCGCTGAACTCATGGCCTCCACCTCCCCTAAACAACAGCTCCCTCAGTTCAGCGCAGCCTTTGGGCACCAGCTGAGCTCCCACAGTGGCATCCCCAAGGACCTGCAGCCCAGCCACAGCTCCATAGCTCCTCCCACGGGCTTCGCAGTGACCGGTGCCACCGCTACCAGTACCAATAACGCATCTGCGCCCTTCACCACCTCCAACTGAGCTTGTCTGCCTGGCTCTGTGCAGGTAGATGGGGGACCTGTGTTTTCTATCTTTCCTTTTTTCCTTCTTCTTTATTTTTTTTCTGTCCTCCCTTCCCTTTTTTTTTTTAAGAGGGGGTTGAGAAGAAAACCCCTGCTTCAGTACTGACCAGGGTTAGCCCTCTGTGAACCTTGCTGTAGCGTTCACATGTGCTTGTTATGCACCGGTGCTCATTTATTGCAGGCAGGTTCACCGTTCCCCAATAATTCCTTAAGGATACAGCACAGTTACTGGATGTAATTGATCTTAGCAGTAAGACCTAGAAATGGGAAGATACCTCAGATTACTGATGCATGTTACTGTTTCCTAGGGTTCGGATCAGTGCTTGCCATCCCATTAGCATCTGGTGGAAAGTTTTCCAGTGGGCAGAAGTATCTTGAATATTTTTTTTTATTTACCTTTTTTCCCAAAGGTAGCATCTGGCATGGAAAACTTGGCTGCACACATTGATTTAAGAATGGTGCACTGAAGTCCTAAATCAAGATCATGGTTCAAGGATGAGTTTGGCAGTTTCTTAAAACAGTCTCTTGACCTCCTCTTTGTGCATGTGTGTGTTTGGGGTGCAGGGAGCAGCAGTTCCTTTTCTTCTTTTGGTGAAGAAGTGGGAGTTGTCCCCTTCTAGAACTGGTCACTGTTCTTACTGCATGCTGATTTTTGTTTTTTTATTATGATGATTTTTAATTCATTGAGCAGCAAGGGGATCAGTTGACTGGTTGCCCGGAAATCCAAAGGCTGATATGAAATTAGCCCAGGGAAAAAAAGAAAGAAAACCAGAAAAGATTGAAATAGATCATGGATTAGTGAAGATTCCTGTGCAGAAATTCCCTCCCTTGCTGAATTACTGTGGCCTTGTAGCATTGATGATTTGCCTTTTCAAGTGTGGCTTTGTCCAGAACTCCGTGTCTGACAGGTATTTCCCAGCTGAAACTGGAAGAATTTTTTGGTATTCTGCCCATCCACACAAGTCTAGGTCAGACCCTTTGGTAAGTTTCAAATGGATGCAAATTATGGCTAGCTACTGAGAATTTCTTGGATGGTTTTTTTCCCCCTGGGAGCCATATAGTTTTTTTCAACACTTGCAGGGTTTGATGGTCTGTATGGGATGCTGAATGTATGTAAGGAACTAGCAGGTACCTATCAGCAGTCATGGCTAACCAAGAGAGAAATCACTAAAGGAAAATAGATAAGAATTCCTTCTGTTTGCAGGACAGTTTTGCTTTTACTGCCCACCTGCTAAAGAAAGTATTCAGACTTTTTGGTAGTAATTTCAGTTCTTAAAGAAATGAGTCCACTAGCTTTTAGATTTTATTTTATTTTATTTTATTTCATGTTTTTTAATCCAACAGATAACAGCAGCAGAAATTCTGAGGTGTTTACTTGCATCTCATTATCAGGAAGGGAAAAAAGGAATTTGCTTGTGACTTTTTTAAGGCTCAAACTTGCTACTATACTCTGACTGTAAAAATAGCTCCTTCTTAATATAACAAATCTTTACTCTTCTTGGTTTGTTTCTGAGATGCAGATGAGAGAGAATAGAAAATCCCACATTTCAATCTCTTACTGTAGAAGACAGATTTCATTCTACCTTACAGTAAAACATCCTACCTGCACATATTCCAGTCTAATTCAGGAAGTTAAGAGATACCAAGCACATGTAGTAGGGAGGCCTAATAAATTGTTTGAGCAAGGGATCACTGAATGAAGTTTAGTTGCTGTAGAAATTTCATTTTGTTAGCAGTCGGGCCCACACCAAAATCTCTGACCCAAACCTCTCCTTCCATCTTGCTAAGGAAGAATTTAAATGGGATAGGTCTTGTGTCTTCTTACTATCGTAGCAATCATACTACCCTCTTTTCTTGAAAGATTTGTTCTCCTTAAATACAAAGGAGTATGGATGATGCATATGTCCTTTTCTGAAATTGCAAGTGTATGTGGGTGGAGGAAACAAAAATGATTTTCATGCTTCTGTTGTTATGAAGTCCTTATTTCATACTTGGTAAAATAGATCTTAATAATATAAGCCGAATATTTTTAAGTGGTGATTTAAATATGTTTGTAACATTTAAATGTTTTTAAATCATGTAAAAAGTTGAATTGAAGCCTATGAAATCCTGCTTGTGATTGTCCTGCTGATTGAGGAATGCCCAGTGGTATTGTGAAATGAGGCAAATCTGACAAGGCATTTATTTATTTTTGTATTATGTTCCCCATACTTTGTTGAGGAGACAACTGTTTGATTTGCAAATGATTTTCGTTGTGTCCGTATACCTTCTTCAATGTGTTTGAATGATTGGCTGAAAAAAGAGTGGAGAACTAGTATACCAAATGGTTAATTCTTTAATCTGCTTGTGTATTCATGTCATTTTAGAGGATGTTAATTTCTATAAATTGGTTTCAAGACCTTGGTCTTGAAATCATTCTTGTGCCCATCAAGCTCTTTAATGAAGCTGCAGCTAGTGCAGAGTATATTTGCCCCACATCACATTTCTCTTTCTTAGTAAATGCCATCGGGGAAGGGAGGAGAGGAACTGAGAGCCAAGTTCTGCTTGCTCACTTTGGTATAAATTACAGAGGAGCTCTTTGGTCTAAGGTCACTGTGAGTTTTTACTGGTCTAACTCAGAACAGAACCCAGCTCCTAATCTGAGCATTGATTTAGACAGGAATTTCGAAAGCTGTCAAAGCTGTGCAGGTCCATAATTCCCATTTAAAATCAATGGCCATTATGTACCTGCATTCCTTTAAGGCAGCCTAGGATATCAACTCTCTTCCCCTGCTTAGACTTCAATTTTTGTATATCCCTTGATGACTCTTCCCTGGAAAGTGACTACGTAACACTTTTCAATGAGCAAACTAAGTTTGCAATAAAGCTGCACTTTTAAAAATAAACTTCAGTTTGTATACGTTTGAAACAGGAATCCCTCTGTCCTGTCTGACACTGAGTTCTGAAATGGGCCACCACTCTTGCCTTTTCCTGGTTCACCTCCTGCTTTTTCACTGCCGCTGATTTCATGGTTACAGCCTACCGAGCAGTTACGGGTCTTGATCTTAGCTTTACAAGGTGGATCATTCCAGGTGGGCTTCTACACCCACATCAACCTGTTGACTTCAGTGAATCAGTGTCTTACTGTTGGATGTGAGAGATCCAATCTGAGAGGTACGTGCAGCCAGAGATGTTTCACACCTCTTCCTCTCAGAAATACTGCAGGTCTGGTTAAGGTAGTCCTCGAGGCTGTTAATTATATGGTTCCTGAGTAGAATCCATGCTCTCTTGCAAAGGTTTTTGAGTATCATCTCCTTGTATAGCAATTAGCACTCTAATCACCCTTTCATCAAAGACCCAGTGTAGCAATTTCAGTCCATTGATTTGAGATGGTCGATACCTGTCATGCCCTTTACGTGTTAACAAATGGAATAAAGCTAGTTGAACCTAAAAGTTAATTTCTTTACATATGATTTGAGTTTTAAAGAATTGAAAAAAAATTAGAATAAAATACCAGTAACATCATTTTTGATAGTAATAGCACCTCAATTAGTCTTTGTACAAAAGTACTTAACACAAGATGAACTTTGATAGTGTACAGAGGCTCATCAGAAACATCCTTGTGCTGGGCTGATGTGTAAGACACCCTGTAAGACATACTTTGATGTTTCCTTTCACTTAGGAAGACTTTACACCAGCTTTGGGGGGGAACCATATGCACTTGAAGTTGATCTGTTCTTTGGCCTCATAACTACTATGATGCAAGAAGATGGAAAAGATGCATCTTTTTGTCTACTCCTTCCAGTTCCTCCAGGTTCTTGATTAGTTCTCTTCTCATCAGTAGCATGCTTCTCTCTATGGTTGGCCATAAGAGCTTTAAGTCGATAATGCTTAGAGGTAGCACACTTGCAGGTCTGCCTCAGCTATTGTGGAGAAGGTGACAACAGCTACATTTCCCACTTCATTCAGCAGGTTAGTGAAATGAGGATTTGTAGTTCTCATTTTGAAAGCATTGGAAGGCCCCAAGAAGCTTATCGTCTGCTAGGCAAAAATCAGAGATGGTATTGGAAGTACAAACGCAAGGAAAAAATGTCAAAGGAGGGTCATCCATAATAGCAAAGAGAAGCCAATGGAAGTGATTTGGGTTTTTTTCTCGGGCGAGGGCATTGTTGTTTTGGTTTTTTTAGAGGGAAATGGATATTAGTTGAAAAATTGGGAAGTTCTGTTGTGAGCTGTTATGCACAGTGTGATGCCACTGGCTTCAGGGGCATGGCCAAGGTGAAGGGCCTAGGATTGAACCTGCAAACCAGTAGCCCAATTTTGCTGTAACTACATCTAAATACGGTCTGGGATTGAATCCGTTTGCCAGGAGAGTCTCACAAAGGAGTACGATAAACGGTGGACAGGTGTCTTCCCTGAGAAGCTGGCCCTGATGGTTACACACACGTGGTGGTGTTCTGCTTCTGAACCCCAACAGTGAGCAGAATCCACTGGTGAATTCTCCAACAGTATGAGCCTTTGGTGAAGGGAGGAGGGAAAAATTTTTAGAAGAGCTAGCTACCTGCAGTTGAATCTTTCAAGACCTGTAGGGTACAGGAACGGTGGCAGGAGGTGCTTTCAGCAAACAAACAACCTGCAGCGATCTTCTGCAGAGAGGGGTTTGTGTGGTTGTCTGGGCAGCTTCCCTGTTGGGATGTTTCCTTTTGCTTTTGTGTTTTTACTGTCACATGTGAAGGAGTCTCCTGTGCAGACCTGTTGCAAGATCTGGTGGTAGTGGAAAGATTAACTGAAGGACTAGTTTTGGGCTAATGTGCTGACCAGATCTTTAGTCACGAGGTCTTTCTGATCTCTTAGGTGACATTTAATGATGGGGTGTTGTGGGCTGCTTCTCATATCTCCTTTATTTCCATACTCTCTACGTTCTTCATCATTCTTTCTTTTATTCTCCCATTCTCAGATACTTCTCCAATGTAAGTAATGCCAACTGGTAAGTCTTCCGTGGTCCTGAGTGAATCTGACTGTAAAACGAAAAGGAGGAGAGATTCC